TTGGTGATAAAAATGTTAAACACAAAATGTGAAATATTTTTCTATATTTTAATTTTTTTGATATTTAGACATTCTTCCTGATAAACTAACACAATTAGAAACAACCTGTCAAAGAAAAAATTAGATAAATATTTTTACTAATTTATTTCTCTGTTCTCAGAATTGATAATACTTCCTAGCAGCAAAGTAACTTTCTGCCAAAGAGGAGACTTTTTAGCGAAGTGGAAACCATTGGTGGTGCCTTGCCAATAAATTTATAGCAGCAAAACATTCTTTCTTCTACCTACTTCTTCCATATATGTTTGCTCCACTGTGCATAGTCCTACTTATGTCAGTCAATGTATGTACAATACACTTAGACTACGGCTATATATGTTGTATGTCTTGGATAGCACATATTTTTCATTATGGAACTGTGTGTTCAAGGTGTGGCAAGACCATACATAAGATTTCTCAAATATTAAAATCTTGTATGTAATATAAATGTATAAGTATGCATTTATTCACTTATTATATGAAACATTTTAATATAAAAACAAAAAATAAGTATAATTTTCAATAAACAACAATTATAGGAAAAATGACAATGCTACCTCTTAAGGTAGACTTTGTGACATTCAAGGAGCTACACCATCTTTAATTCAGAATCACTTCTGATTAATTTTGTTTAATTTTGTTTGCCGTAGTCATTCAAAATGTTAAGAAAATTTTCTTGTCAAAAGATTGTTGTTTTTATTGTTCACTATATTTAAAGTTCAAACCCTTTCATTTATTGTTCACTATATTTAAAGTTCAAACCCTCTCATTTATTGTTCACTATATTTAAAGTTCAAACCCTCTCATTTGTTAGGATTCCCCCATTTACTTTATAGGTAAGAGTATAAATCTATTTTTCATGTTTGAAACTGAATAGCTTAGACCATCATCAAACCTGAAATAATAATAAAAAAGCTGTTTTAACATAAACCATATTAAAAGCTGCTAAAAAGGTCATCCAAAGATGACGTTAATAAAATTAGTTCTGTTATTATTTAAAGTGGAGTCTAACTTACTGTTTTCCCTGTTATCTATATAGTTTATTATACATAGTTTTTTACCCTAGCTTGTGTTCAGTTTCTCCATGTTCTCTTTAGGTGGTTCCAAGCATGCAATGATTTCTAAAAACACTTCTTATTGTTGCACTATTTACTACTGCTGACTGGAGTTCTTATTGTGATTTTCTTTGTGACATTCCTTAAGCTGATATCTTTTTTCTCTGCACTGATAAATGTGTTTCCTATGTAACCTCCTGAGTCCAGGCAAGTATGGAAGCTTTTATTCCTTCTCTTTGGTTTCTTCATTTCACACAATGGTTTTACATTAAGCTCTGTTATTCCGAGTTCACTAAATCTTCTATCTTACCTCAGAAGTTGGGCTTAAAATAGTCTTATTAAATAAAGTCAAATATCTCTAACTCATGGGTTTGATCTTATTCCCTCTCTCAAGCATAAGGCAGATTTATTAGGAGTGAAAACTAGAGAGTGAAAACTCAGGCCACTCCTACTATTGTCAGATCAATCTTCTCTTTATTATTAGCAAGGTCTAAGAGTAGCAAAAACAATTTGAGAAAAAAAAAATATTTAACATCTTTTCCTGAGTCTAATAACCTGCTCTTTGACAATTATTATGGTATTCAATCATGTTGAGAAAATCTTTGAGATTATCATATCATTTCACTCTAACTGCAGAAAATCATTTTACTCTAACTGCAGAAAATTATTACACTCTAACTGCAGAAATTTATTTCACTCTAACTGCAGAAAATTATTTCACTCTAACTGCAGAAAATTATTTCACTCTAACTGCAGAAAATCATTTCACTCTAACTGCAGAAAATTATTTCACTCTAACTGCAGAAAATTATTTCACTCTAACTGCAGATCATTTCACTCTAACTGCAGAAAATCATTTCACTCTAACTGCAAAAAATTATTTCACTCTAACTGCAGAAAATTATTTTACTCTAACTGCAGAAAATTATTTCACTCTAACTGCAGATCATTTCACTCTAACTGCAGAAAATCATTTCACTCTAACTGCAGAAAATCATTTCACTCTAACTGCAAAAAATTATTTCACTCTAACTGCAGAAAGTTATTAACTGCAGTATTAACGTCATCTTTGAAGGCCAACTTCATTTCCAGTAACTTTTTTGATACCTCAAGATGCTATCCTAGGTGCTGTATTTTTTCTTATCTACATTAATGATCTTTCTGACAATCTTACATCTAAATTGTCTCTATTAGCTGATGACTCAACATTATTCTCCTGTCGTGACAAAAATATTCTTTTGTCTATTGCTTAAAATAGGTATTCAATCTTGAATCTCATCTCACTTCTGTAACAGTTTGGGGATTGAAGTGGCTTGTGAATTTTAACTCTAAGAAATCTCAGTTATTTGCTGCAAACAATTATTGCAATACTGTCAACATTCCTATATTAATGAGTGGCAACCCTTTCATAGAAACTTCTTTTTTATGTTTTCGTGGATTATCATTTACTACTGACCTCTCATGGAAACCATATAAACAGTTGATTGCAATGTTAAAGTCTGCAAGGTTGCTACTATTTATCTTGCTTGCCATTGTCTCCTGGTTTCCTTCTCTACCTCTACAATTCTCTTATTCATCCCTGTATGAAATACTGTTGTCATATTTGGGTTGTTTCTTGTAATAATGGTCTTTTTCTTCTAGACAAGGTCCAAAAACACATTGTAAATGTAGTTGGACCTGCTTTATCTGCCAAGCTTGAGCCTCCCTCCCATGGTCATAATGTTGCATCTCTTTCTCTTTTCTATAAATGCATGGTTACTGCTCAAAAGTGCATCTTTATTTCTATCATTCTAAACTCATTCTTCCTTGACTCATTATTTAGCAAAGTTTAACCTTTTTACAGTATCTGTCTCTGCCTGTTCTTAAAACTTTTTATTGTCTAGTTTTTTTCCTTGTACTTCAATCGTTTGGAACTCTCTCCCATCTTTATGTTTTCCTGACTCATACAACCTATAAAATTTGAAGTCTTTTGTCAACTGTTTTCTTGTTCTTCAACTCTATTCTTTGTATTTATTAGCTCTCAACTCAATAGTGGTTGTTTTCAGCCTTGTTGTGAGTAGTTTTTATAAACTCTCAACTTAATAGTGAAGGTTTATAGGATGTATTCAGACTCTAAACGAGCTTGCAGCCTTGTTTAGAATAAATTAGATTTAAATTTTTTTTTTAATTAAACATCAAACTTATTTGATTTCATCATCTTAAAAGTCATTATTTGAAATATAAAAAAGATTCATCAGTTCTTTAAACAAAAAAAAATCAAAATTACTTTGCTTCTCCTTTGTTCACTCTGTTAAAAAGTTTATAATCATCAATAATTGCTGAGGACTCTCTCCCACATTTTTTACAAGTTAAGTTTCTTATCCTCTAATTGTAATTGTTACTCCTTAAGCAACACTCTATAATGTCTTTTCCTCTTTAAAATAGTGTTCTTACTTTTATGGATCGAACTACATTTAAAATGTGTTTTAAGATTTTGTCTAGAAGAGAAAGAGGATCATTAGAAGAACTAGCTCAAATATGACAACTGTTTTCCATACAGAGACGAATAAGAGATTTGTTGAAGTAGATAATGGAATCATGAGTAAGAAAATGGCGAGTACAATAGAGTGAAGCAACCTTAGCAGATGCTAATATACCAATCATTTGTATGTATGGTTTCCATGAGATGTCAGTAGTGAATAATCATCCAAGTAGGCATAATGAAGAGGATTCAATGAGAGGATTGCCATTCATCAATATAGGAATGTCGACAGTATTGTGATGATTGTTTTTTAATTGCTTCAATTTAAATCTTTCAGTTATTGTTTGATGAAGATTGATTTTCTTATTATTTCGAATTTTTTTGTTTATTTTATTATTTCATTTTTATTAGATTTGCCCTCTATCTTTTTAACCATATATCAAGCGTTCGTATTATATAAACTATATCAAGTGTTACTAATGCTGCTGTTTGTTAAAGCTTTACTAATGCTTCTAGACGTCAATTTTATAAGATTATAAATGTTAATGTTTTCTTCTTGTTTGCTTATGATCAAATTAATAATTCTTCTATTTTCAAATTTAGACTTGGCATTTGCAAAAACGTTATTACACAACTTATGATATTATTTTTCCTTTTATTTTTCTTTTTTTCTTTTTTAAAGAAATTGGATTTTGTTCAATTTTATTAATAGATTAATTTTTTTCTCAGATACTATATGCTACTTGTAATTTTCCTGAATTCTTTTTTTGAAGTTTCTTTTTTTTCTTTTTTTTCTGTCACAGTTTTCTATCCACTGCAACTTAATAGTATTTACAATCTCTTCAAATAAATGTCCTCTTTAGCTTATTGTATTTGCTCTTTGGCTTATTGTATTGGTTCTTAAATTTTATCATATTTGTTCTTCAGCTTATTTTATTTGCTCTTAATTTTATCGTATTTCCTCTTTAGGTTATCATATTTGTTCTTCAATTTGTAGTATTTTTGCTTCTAAGTAAGTGAATTTAATAATCAGGGAACAAATTTGAATAGTTTGTGATACATACTTAAAGTCTAAACAAAAATAAAAAACTTGGTTAATGTTCATTTTTCACAAACCTAAAAGATGAAAATTTGGAATACTGTGTTATTTAAGAAGTTCAAAGTTACTAAATCAAACATTGGCTCATAAATTTATTGACATTATTAGAACGCAGGTTCTAACATTTACTAGTATTTAAGTGAATATTGGCTTTTAATTGTGGTCTACTAGTTTATATAAAAAAAAAATTTTTTCTCATTGTATACTTTTTAAATTAGTTAATTTTAATTTAATTCTAAATTAGTTTAAAAGAATTTAAAGAAATCTGATAAAAATGCATTTTTTTATTGTATAATTTAAAAAAAAATAGTTTTATTTTTTAGTTATTTTTAATTTAATTTTAAATTAGTTTAAAAGCACTTGAAGAAATCTGATAAAAATGGATGAAAATTATTCGAATGGTGAGTATATTTCTTTTTTACTATTTGGATTTGAATTTTTTTTTTTAAATAATTATTTTTTTTGCTTTATGTAACTTAATATTTTGTTTACCAAACCATTTTGCAGACTTAAAATCTTGTGCATGTATATATATATATATATATATATATATATATATATATATATATATATATATATATATATATATATATATATATATATATATATATATATATATATATATATATATATATATATATATATATATATATATATATTGAACAATTAATTGTTATTTCTTTAATAGTATTAAGAAATTTTTATAAAATTGATTTTTATTAAGATGTGCAAAATGAATGCATTACGAAAGTTAACTATTTATTGTTGCAAAATTTGTCATTTAAATGCGTTTTATATATTTAACTTTTTAGTTACTCGCTAATTATAGTACTTATTTGATTTAGGAAAATCATTTTAAGAAGTAATTTCAATGCAAAATATAAATCTGTATGAACTTTTATTTTAATAACTTTATTTCATATAAGTTCAAAATATTTTAATGTCTTTAATTTTATCGATAAAATTAGTATGTAATTTTTTACATACTAATTGTTGATATTTACTATATTGCAGCAACTTATTTTGTTACTTATGTTTTCGTTATTTATGTTTGCTAAATTTGACATTTGAGTATTCTTATATTTTTTCTAATATTTAAAAATTTTTTAAAATATTAATCCACTGAACTTTATAAAAAAACAAACCGCAAATAAAAAATAAATTTCTAATAGTTCGAATATCTAACGTTACAAAGTTGGAAAATCTAATGTTATCCATTACTTTCATTACGTTAATCCAACTTTATTACAACCTAAATAACAATGTTATTTAACGCTGTTCTAACGTTAGTGTGCAACTTTATTATAAGTTGCATTATATATATATATATATATATATATATATATATATATATATATATATATATATATATATATATATATATATATATATATATATATATATATATATATATATATATATATATATATATATATATTGTATATTATTATAATATATATATTGATTATTACTATTATAATTAAAGATTACTGATATACTATTTATAATCAGTAAAAGAATCAAAGAAGGTAAAGACAATATATTTATCGTTACAACTTTTTCATGGAGCTCTGAAATTACTCATTTAAAAGCAACTAGATTTTATACTATAAAAATCAAAAATATTCCTACTAAAAACCGTTTGTAACATTAAGAAAAAAAAAAAACGTTAATGATACAAAGCGTTTTTTTTATTAGGTGTAAAAAATAAAAATAAAAAGATCTAATAAAAAAAAAAAAATTGATAGTAAATTAAAAATGATGCAGCCTGCATCATTTTTAAATGGTGTTTTGCATCATTTTTAAGAGGCATTTTTTGGTATTTAAGATAACTTCCAGAAGTTAACTTTCAGACATGGGTAAAACTCATTTATGTGTATATACCTATGTTAAATAATGATGTTTTGTAAAAAATTGCAATGTATGTATGTATGTATGTATGTATGTATGTATCACTGTGGACCAGAGTAACCGCCAGGTTAAGTTGTTCCCCAGTTTTGCCACAGAAACCCTTATGATCTCAACCAGAACAAGGTGGAATACCTAGGGAACTGGATAGAGAAGATATCCAAGGTAAAATTCATGTTAATCTGTTTTTTTATGTATAATAATAGTTATTACTTTTTAGTCAATACTTTGTTTTATTTCAATCACACAGTTTCTTGACTAAAAATATAGAACAGAATTTTTTTTTTTTTAATATTTGTTATTATACACATACATGTATTAAAAAATAATACATGTGCTATATAAAAAACTTTTAGTTTTTCCATTGCATGTGTAGACTTAAAATGTATATAATTTTATATATTATATATACAGCACTATAAGTATTTGTATATACATAAACTTAATTTAAGTATGACATGCATTGAGATATTTGAGTATGTATGTAGTATATAAATTTGTATGTATGTAGTATATAAATTTAAGTTATACAAAACATGTGTATAAGATTCTATCAGATAAATAATTATTTACTATTTATTTAATAATTATTTATTCACTCTTTATAGTGTAAGCTTAAAACTTAATTATATAATATATATAGTTTAACTTTAAGCTTACATATCATGAATAGACTAAAATACCATTTAGTATGCTAAAATAATATCATTTACTGACCAGTATTTTTTCCATTATTTTAGATTGATAGATTGCATCTTAGAAGGTCATCAAATATCTATGACGTTGTTGATGAAATCAATGCTTCTAATGATTCTGAACATGCAAAGTCAACCAGACCATGTTTAAAATGCTTTGGTTTTGTAGGTTAGAATTCTATTTTTTTTTTTTATATATATGTTTTCTATTTTTTCATATATGTAAGGCTTCATATTACAAAATTGATTGTACTAAATAAAATATTTGAATAATAAAAAATTTTGTTTATTTGTTTTCAAAAAAAAATATTTTGTGCAAAGAGTAGCTCATATCTGTACAGAGAGCAGAGCAGTCAACAATCTCATTGAAGCAGCAGAACAACTTTGACCTAAATACTTAGAACGGGTAGCCTCAGGCAAGTATATTAAGCTGTTCTTTTAATATGAATACATATTTTGAAGTTCCAAATAATAAACATACTTTATTAAAGTATGTTGCCAGGTATACTCAAGCACAATATGGAAGCCGAAAATGTTTGTAGAGGACAAAAGTTTTAGCTGGCTACTCAAGGGTCTCCTTTGAACATTGTGGTTGGGCCTCCTGACAAAAAAACTGACCGAATCGAGCTGAAACAGGTGTCCTCTAGAACTGTTATGGAGTTGGTAAAATCAAACAAAGAATTTTTGTTCCAATTATAAATCTAGTATGGGAACTCAAACCTGCATTGAAACGAACATCTTTGAAAAAATTGAAGCTCTTCATAACCGTATAGATGAATTTTACACTTCTAAAGAAGTGGGTTTTATGGATGGAGAAGTCATTACAAGAACAATGGTTCATGTAAATGATACATCTTCATTTATACAGCACTTCATTACAGAAAGAGGAATAGATCCACATGACTCTATAATGAGAATAACTATGGATTCAGGGATTCCTTAGAGTTACTGTAAATGTTTTAAATTCCCTGAAAAAAGATTCTCCAGATTCAGAGCTAGATAATGAGTGATAATGAGAGATCCTTTCTTATAGCAATTGTTGAGATTTTTGAAGCTAACGATAATCTTTGGAAGCTTATTAAGCCTCTGAATTTAAACAATGTAAAGTTTTATGTTGCATTTGATCTTAAATGAGTAAATTCAGTGTTTGGAATTAGTAGTCATACTGGGAAATATAGTTGTTTACATTGTGAGGGATCCTGTACTCTTGAGCCTGGTATCAAGAGAATACTTAGGTCATTGGATGAGCATTACAACAACTTTACCCTTGACGAAAAGAAGAAGCTAAAAATGTCACACTTTAAAAATGTTGCAAATCCAAGACTTTAGTACAAAGAGGAAGATCCTGAAACTTTTCTTGAGGAGTTGGTTCCTGTTCCTGCGCTCCATGTTTCAATGGGAATAGTAAGTAAATTTGCAGTACTTCTAGTTATTGTATGGCCTTTGTTTGAGAAGTGGCTACAATCAAACTACATCATGTTTCGAGGATACCAAGGCATAAGACTTGAAGGAAACAATGCAAACAAGAGGATAACATCAGCACTGCTGTTCTGGAGTTTAAAAAATCCTATGCAGATTTGATTGAATACGTGCATGCCACATTCGAGGGTATTGAGCTCAGTGTTACATGGAAAGTTCACATAGCAGTATGTCATACTTGCTTTTCTTCATTTTACTGACTGCGGCCTAGGAGTTTTACTGATAGCAAACAGGAGAAGCTATTCATCATGAATTCAAAAGCCGGGAATAGATACAAACGAAGAGTTAACGATATAGATTATGTAAAACGGCTAAAATCCAGTGTTGTTGAGCTTGCATCAAAAAACATTAAATAAATTGAATAATTATATAATTTAATTTAATGTTAATAATTTTAAGTATATATTGTAAAGTATATTATTTATAGCATTTAGACTTATAATATAACTAATTAACATAAAGCTTTTTTACATTGTGGTTTTATTTGTATAGGATAAGTTACAGTTATTTTTTCTTTTTTTTCCTAATTTTTTCTTTTAATTTTTTTCTTACACCCCAGAAGTTTTAAATTTTATAAATAGTGTCTACTATTGTATACCTAATTATTGAAAAAAAAATCAGACCTGGGGAACATTTTAATCTGGTGGTCACTCAGGTTCACAGTGGTAAGTAATAGTTTTTTTTTGATTTTTTTGTCTTAATTTTTTTTTTTTAAATTCTAACACCCCAGAAGTTTTAAATGTTATAAATAGTGTCTACTAATGTATACCTAACTATTAAAAAAAAATATCATACATGGGGAACAACTTAACCTGGCGGTCACTCTGCTCCACTGTGATGTATGTATGTATGTATGTATGTATGTATGTATGTATGTATGTATGTATGTATGTATGTATGTATGTATGTATGTATGTATGTATGTATGTGTGTATGTATGTATGTATGTATGCATGTATGTATGAATTTATGTATGTATATATGTATGTATGTATGTATGTATGTATGTATGTATGTATGTATGTATGTATGTATGTATGTATGTATGTATGTATACATGCATGCATATGACACCATCATGTATGTATATATGTATATATATGTATGCATATGTGATACATATATACTACATACATATATACATACATACATTCATATATACATTAGAGGTGTGCCGGAACCAGAAAATGCCGAGTCTCCGATCCCGGGTACCCGTTGGTAAAAACCGGGTACCCGGCACTGAGTCCATTAAAAAAATTAAGGATAAAAAAAAAATTTAATTAAATCAAAAATAATTGAGACAACACTTTTTTGAGATATTTCATTTTAATTTATTAGTGTTTTCTAAATTCGATTCAAATAAAGATTTCAATCAATTATTGTCAGAAAAAATAATTTTTCTGACAATAATTGATTGAAAACTTTATTTAAATTGAATTTAGAAAAAAATAAAAATAAAAAGAAAGAAAAATAACAGGTAATTGCTTCTTTTTATTGCTTAGAACGCTCCTTTACAATAAATAAACATTTAAACCAATAACTTTATGCTAAAAAATAATTAAAACTCCCTAAAACTATGCAATATTTCTTTGTTCTGCAAAAACCATTAATTTCTCTTCCGATTTCCTAAACTTTATGGCAAAAAATTCAGTTAAAAATAGTCTATGTTGGTTAAAAAGTTATTGGTTTAAACGTTTATTTATTGTAAAGGATCATTTCTCTCGCGTTCTACGCAATAAAAAGAAGCAATTACAGGTAATTGCTTCTTTTTGCTAATTTGCTAATTTTTCTAATTTGCTAATTTTGCTAATTTGCTAATTTTGCTAATTTGCTAATTTTGCTAATTTGCTAATTTGCTAATTTTTCTTTTTCTTTTTCTTTTTTTCAAATTCTCAGATTATTTTGTTTTAATTTACGGTTTTTATATCTGTATAAATCAGTTACCTTTTTGCAATGTTAACTGCTATCAACGTTTTCAATATAATATAGCAAAAATATATTCGAAAACGAGATTATATTAAAAAAGGTTTTCAATATAATATAGCAAAAATATATTCGAAAAAGTGAGACGCGTTTAGATTTAGTACATAGGAATTATCAACCTTTGAAACTATTGAGAAGTTATTGGTTAAAGCACTATTTTTTACCTGGTTGACAATATTGCTACATAATTTAAAGTAACACTAAAGCAAAATTTGTTTTGTTAATATTGTTTATTTGTTGTAACACTTAAAGGTTATGTCTGTTAAAAATATTTTTAAGTAAATATCGGTGCCGGGTACATCAACAAAATGGCCGATTCCAAGTACCCGGTAAAACCACCGAATTACCGGGTCTCCAGGTCCGAATCGGGTACCCGGCACATCTCTAATATATATATATATATATATATATATATATATATATATATATATATATATATATATATATATATATATATATATATATATATATATATATATATATATATATATATATATATATATATATATATATATATATATATATGGGTAAAACCACAGATGTCACATTTTTCTCATTTTGAGAAAAATGAAATTTAGTGTTTAGTGACATTAGATATCTGTTTATTAATAATTTATTTAATTAAATGTATATTTTTCTGGCATTTTAGTCCTTATACAATATAAAAACGCAGTTTTTGTGCTAAATACAAGTATTATTTACTCACAGTGTTCTTTTGAAAACAAGACACTCATTTTGGACATCTGTGGTTTTTCCGTTGTAAACTCATCAACTCATAAATTACGTTAGCTTATTATATAAAAGTTTTTTTTAACTTTATGCAAAATAGCATTGTAACCTTATCTCTTCTCCAACCTCATCTATTTACCACAGATGATTCCATGATGTCTGTGTTCCATCACTTTATATCAAGTTTGTCTAAACCATACAAAAACCAATTGTGAACACAATGTTAATAAAAATGTTTTGATTTTAATTTCAAAGAAAAATAAAATAGATTAAATAATGTCTTATTTTGTACATTCAGAGAATGTTTAGATGTAGTAAATCTTTAAATTTTTTTAAAAAAAGGCAACAGAGCTATGTTTCAGTTTATCAGGCTCTTCGATCATTGATCAAAACATATGGGATGTAGCACACATAAAACTAAATATTTCCATTTTTTCATATAATTAAGCTTTAACTTTTAATATTTAATACTTTAATTTCTGTAAGTGAGCATCTCTTAAATGAAAAAACAACCAAGAAGTTTGGCATTGAAACTCTGCAAATTTCAGATATTTTTCTTGTATCATGTTTATATACGATATTGAATTTTTATGGTTTTTTGTGAGAACGTCTAGTGTTTCTGCAAAAAAAATTTGATTTGCAATGGCCAATGTTTGTCACATTTTTTAGAGGTGTAACATCTATACATAATGTGACAGAGTTCTAATTGGTAATGAAACAGTAATGCTGTTAAGTTTTTCAGTTTTATAAACTAGATAATAAAATCGAACTAAAACATTTAGTTTTGTATTTTGCCTAGCTCATAAATTACAAATCAATTTGATATCCTTTACACTTGGGACAAGTGATAATTTAAAATCATGCATCATAGAACATACAACACCAAGCCATCTGTTTTTTTGTTATGAATTTTTAAATTAAAATAGCTTAGTACTAAAATATCATAAAAATATATAAAACTCGAAATTTTCAAAAAGTGGACATCTGTGGTTTTACCCGTGTGGTCTTCATATATATATATATATATATATATATATATATATATATATATATATATATATATATATATATATATATATATATATATATATATATATATATATATATATATATATATATATATATATATATATATATATATATATATATATATATATATATATATATATATATATATATATTTATATATATATATATATATTTATATATATATATTTATATATATATGTATATATATATATATATATATATATATATATATATATATATATATATACATATATATATATATATATATATACATGTATATATATATATATATATATATATATATATATATATATATATATATATATATATATATATATATATATATTTATATATATATATATATATATATATATATATATATCATACATAAATCTAAATAGATTAAACCCTAAAAGTTGTTGACGTTAATCTTTCCTTAAATCTCAAAGATTCAAATAGTCACATGCTTGACTGGGGCATTTAAACTCGTATAAAGTCACCCATTTCGTCAGGAGACTAGGTTAAAATTCAAGTACTATTTTTTTTCATTTTTTCGTTTAGCATTGCTTCACTCTATCACCTTTCTCTTTGTTCTATATTGATCTACTTTATCTCAAGACTGCAATCTTTTCGATGTTATTTCTGATCGAATTAAGTATCCCCTTCCTCTTTATTCTGCAGCCAATATCGTTGTTGTCAATGACTTTTTTGCTCATCACACTGAATGGCTTTGCTCTAATATCTGTGACTCTGCAGGCGTTAAAGCCCAAAAAATTTGCTTTTCTCCATCATTTACCTTCTCTACTCGACTTATGTCTTGTTTCTGATCCAGTGCTCAGTTTCCCCACATTCATCTTTATGTGAATTTTATTTTATTCTTCTTCATCATCAGAATCTTTTTACAATATTACCTATTACAACTATCTTAAAGCTAATTGGAACTCTTTCCATGTTTTTCTTTATATTAACCCTTGGGTAAAAAATCTTTCACCTACCTGCTGCCATAAGTGTTTTTTTTGTAATTTTTTGGATTCAGGCTGGCATAGATTTTTTTATTACCCTCGACAATTCCTAGTCAAGCCACACTCATCCCCATGGTTTTCTTTTCATTGTGCTGCTGCAATTTTTAATCGTAACCACTACTTCCATATCTTTCATCAAAACAATTCTTCAGAAAATAGACGTCTGTATACTATTGCTAAAAACTATTGTAAAAAGGTTTTGAATAACGCCAAAGCCTGCTATTCTCAGTTCTCAGATCACAAAATCACGTATTTTATCTCAACAATTAAGCTTTCGAGACCTCTATAAAACCTTAAACATGTCTATAATAAAGGAAAATCTATTATTCCACCACTCATGCATGCCCAGATGTTTTTACGTCATCTAAAAAAACTAAATTGTTTGCTAAGAACCTTTCATCAATCTTACCTCTTGATTCCAATAATCACATCCAACCTAATTTACCCGACGAACAGGTTGATCCGTTGCTTGGCATTTCTTACCACTATTTTCAAAAATTCTGGAGAGGATCTTACTTGTCTAACTGCCATCCCATCAGTCTTCGTACTATCATTAGCAAGGTTTTTGAGTCTTTAATTAACAAATTAAAGACTCAAAAATTTATCTTTTATCTTGAATCTAATAACTTACTTTTTATCATCAATCGTAGTATAAAGGTTGTCCTCGTTGGACAGCACTCTTTTTTATTTCCTATTACTTCAGGGGTTCGTCAAAGTTCTATCCTTGACTCTATACTTCTTTTAATTTTCTTTAACGATCTCCCAGACATTTTCAGGATTAACATATTACGTCCTCATGTTGCTTCTCTTTCGTAACTTGTTTATAAATACTATAATGGTGCGTTTTTTTGTGCCATTTACTAAAATTCATTATCAGTTTATTCGTCATTCAATTAAATCTCATCCTTTTATTGCGACTGTTTCTAAGTGCTCCAAAAATTCTTTTTTATCTAGTTTTTCCTCCAACATTAGTTCTTTGGAATTTTCTTCCTTCATCTTGTTTTCCTGATATAATTTGCAATCTTTTGAGTCGTCTGGTAATTGTTATCTTGCTTGATAAACTTCATCTTTTCTTTCCAGGTAATTTTCAAATTACCTGTAAAGAAAAGATGAAGTTTATGAAGTTGCTTGCAGTCTTGTTAAAAATGAAGGTTTGTTTTTTCTAAAAAAAAATTGAAAAGATATTACTTTGGTTTTCTATAATTTTAATAGTGAAAAACTTTTTTTAGATTTAAAATTGAAAATTGAAGAATTCAGAAAGTTTAATGAACTTGACGAAAATGTAAGAAGTAACGCAAGCACAACAATAAAAAACATTTTATATTTATGTCTTGGTCAATGGCAACCTAGAGCTTTAGAGCACATACATATGAGCGGCAGTTACTCTGAAGGCGCATTTCTTGCTCGATTCTTTAAGCAAAATAATGACTTTGAAGATGGGTTAAATCGAGAACTCGAGGTTGATATTGAATTTACTATAGTTAAGTTAAGTACAGATTTAAAAAGTCATATTGAAGACTTTCCACAGAAAGTTGGTTATGTTAAAGTGTCTGCCACAGCTGATATGTTTATGACTTCTAATGTGGCATGGGATATTTCTAAAAAAGACGTTTTGGAGAACTTACCAAAAGTGTGCCTTAATGGCTATGCTCAGCCTTTCAAAATTAAAAAATTGATTCAAAGATATTCAAATTTTGATGATGATCCACGAAGACAAGATCTTTTCAAATTAATAATGGGTGCCATACTTCGAAAAAATCCATCTGAAGTTTCTTTAAAGACAGCTGGAGCAGTTACTAATGCTTCTTATGCTACTAGTTTTATTGTTCAAGTTGGAGATAAAAATATTTTATTTGGTACTTACGAATTAGTTCCTTTGCTGGAAATTAGTTGGTGGCCTGATATTGCAGCAGAATGGAAAAACAGGCAAAGGAATTGGCCTAATGAGGAGACAATAAATGAGCTTACTAAAACATGCTTTATTATAGCTAAACCACCTCAATCAGAAAGAGATGATTTGGAATCTATTAGTTGGAGGTATTCTTTTTCAAATATTGAACGCAAACTAATCAGTATGCGTAGTCCGCAACAAAGTTTAGTTTATCTCATTTTCAAATCAATGTTTTACAAATGGCTGAAACCAATCAATACTGCTCAAATTCACTCTTTTTATGCCAAAAATATTATGTTAAAAGTATGCGAAAATTTTCCACCAGAAAATGAAATGTGGAATGAAAGTTATGGGGCAACTAAAAAAGCACTTATTTATTTATTTCTTCAACTTTACGAAGCTTTTGAAAACTGTAACCTTACCTATTATTTTTTAAACAATATTAATGTTATCGAATCTGTCGAACCGCTAGTAAACAAGGAAGTAAAAAAAAATATTATGATGATTGTTAACAACATTGAAGATTATATACAATTAAATGTAAGTCAAGTTATTGATGCTGGAACAAACTTAATTGAGATGATGAAAAAATTCGATAAATTTTATTCTACTACGTTTAATGGCAATGTTTGGGATTTTTTAAATTTAACATTTGTTACAGAATACAAAGAAATTCAAGATATCGAACTAGATTAATAAAAAAACTTCAGTAAATTTTTGAACAGTTGGCAATAAAGTTTGCATTAAGAAAACTCTAGTAAATATTTGAACAGTTGGCAATAAAGTTTGTAATGAACATTTATATTATAGAATTACGTTTAGGGTTATGGTTCGGGGAATAGTTTTATTTTTCATACACAGTCTTATGAGGCTTTGGGAGCATGAGAAAAACTTTGTAATATAACAGAAAAATAATACAAACTATATATAGCCCTTTTGTACACGGGCACATAAAATGCGTTTAAATTTTTTTTTTTTTTGATAAAACAAATGTTCTAAACCTCCTTAAGGGATATGTAAAATTATATTAAAATATTAATTTTATTAAATTATAAAATAGGACTGGTATGCACAAATGTATACATCGTGTTTCAATTATTGTTTTGCTTAAGTTTTATAGTGAAAAATGAACAAAATGAATTGGGTACGTTATACATGGTGTACGAAGGGAATAGTATAAATATATAAATATATAGCTTTGTGAATTATTATAGAATATATTATAAAATACTTTGAAAAATATTTGCGTACCGAATAAGTCAAAACGTTTTTAAACTATTATTAATAAAGATCAAGTAATAGACTTAAAAAAAGTTCTGGGCAATCAAGCGGTCTTTTTTTAATGTTAGTTCACCTTCCCAAGTCCGAGAAGGCCACTTCTGTCAAGGAGGCTACTATAATTGTGGTTACAACCCTTTCTCAACTCTTTATCTCCAAAAGACGAACCTTGACGAACAAGACCGTTGCGCGGAGAAACAAGTTGCTCTTGCTACCCATTCTTTTTTCTCTGGGCAATTAATTGGGTTTACTAGATTCTTTTTTTCTGTAACATTTCAAATGCTTGCTATTATATCAGTTTTATAAAAAAGTCATTAAAATCTGATTAATTTTCAGAGAAACAGCTGTTAAAAAATGTTTCTAAAAAGGTAATTCAGATAAGGTAATTATTGATAATGTTATTCTTTGAGTGTAATTTGGGAACACACCATAAAGTTTTTAAAAATAGATTTTATTTATTCGGACCTTTAGCCACTAGTATTCTGGGCCACTTAGCCCCTATTCCGTCACTGATATAATAAATAAAAAATTTTTAACACAAAAGTAAAATATATTAATCGTAGTACTTTACATAATAATTTTTTTTTTTAATTGTATAGACGTTCGTCATTTTGATATTTCATCAAATAATTGTATTTTAATAATCTACTTTTGTTATTCATAACAATTGATAACGTTAATCGTCCATCTATTAATACGTTCTTGCAAAGGTACATACCTTGTAGAGGACTTAGTAAAATTTGTTGGCAGTTACAAGTTTGAACGATTTTATTGGAAATATCATTATGCAAATTATGTTCAATAGGTTATATGCATTTTTTTAAAGATAATGACTTATCTTTAAAAAAATGCATATAACCTTACTCTATTTAAAACAGTTTGGATTCCAGAAAAGCACTTCAACTGAACATGCAATACTTCACTTAATTAATGAAATAAAAAACTCTTTTGCAAACGGAGAATTTACTTTAGGCGTGTTTATTGACCTCTCCAAGGTCTTTGACACAGTGGATCATAAAATAATGATAAAAAAGTTTATGATGTATGGCATAAGAGGCGTATCCTGCAGGTGGATAACAGATTACCTGAGTAAACGTACACAGTCCATATATTACGGAAATAAAAAACTTACAAGATCATCTTTAATTTCTTGTGGAGTGCCCCAAGGATCTATTCTTGGGCCTCTACTTTTCCTAATATACGTGAATGATCTCTGGAGAGCGTCAAATATATCAACAATAATGTTTGCTGACGACAGTAACTTTTTTATTTCAGGAAAAAATATACCTCAACTCTTCGTACAAATGAACAACGAGTTAGATAAAATTTTACTATGGTTCAATGCAAATAAACTTTCTATTAATTCAAGTAAAACAAAAATCTCATTATTCCACACTTTAAAAAAAAAAATTCCTATTACTTTTCCAAAACTAATTATTGAAAACACAGAAGTTAGTCGCGAAAAAGTCACAAAATTTCTTGGTGTTCTCATTGACGAAAATATTACCTGGAATAAACATATTGCCTATATTGGCGTTCTATATCAAAAAGTATTGGCGTTCTATATCAGTCACGGGATTTACTTAATAAGCATCATCTAAAACAAATCTATTTCAGTTTTATACAAAGTTACTTGAATTACGCGAATATTGCGTGGTGTAGTACATCTAAAAGCACTATTGCGTGGTGTAGTACATCTATCAAACATGCCTTAAGAATCATAAATTTTAAAAATAAAAACGAACATGCAAAACCACTGTTCGAAATTATGAATATTTTTACGTTTATACGAGGTAAACGTTTATAAAATTTTATGTCTCATCTACAAAAGTAAATTTCAACAATGCCCCTCAATTTTTAATGATCTTTGTGAAATAAAACCAAACATTAAATATACTTTACGCACAACGGGCTTAATTGAACCATTGTGCAAAACTAAACAAGAACAATTTAAAATTACGTATCGTGCTCCGCATATCTGGAATAAAATCTTATCAAAATATAGTTATTTACCAGTTGTAAACAATTAAATTGCTTTCAAAAACTAATAAAAAAAAGCATACAAATCTTATTAATGATTTCTTTTAAACTACTTTTTTTTTTTTTTGGTTTTGTTTTGTTTTGTTTTTATCTTTTTACATTGAAAAGCTTTTGCTTTTGGTTTTAACACTATTTACCTTAGTTAATTAAGTTTTGCTTTTAACACTATTATAGGAATATAATATTGTAAAAACATAATTATTACCACGGTTCTTGACGATAAGACTTAATGATCTTCTGCAAGTTTCCCGCGTTTTTATTTATTTTTGTATAACTAACTCTTATTATTTTGTCTTTGATTTTTATATTTATAACTGGTTTATTTTTGAAAGAATAAGAGTATTTTGTATTATATTACGGATTTTAATTGTAGCAAAAACGGAAAATTAAAAAAAAAAAAAAAAAATCTTACATCATTTTGTTGTGTGAATTAATAATGGTGATGTTAGAAATGGCGATGTTACTGACTTTTATGTTGCCTGATGAAAGATTTTGCAAAACTTGTTTCTTTTTGAAAAAACAGAGGATTAAACCATGTTTTGTGATTTTGAATTTAGTTGAGTTTAGTTAGTTGAGGTTCTTTGGAATTTTTAGTTTTTCACTAGCTGTTAAAGCATTACTATAAAATGGCATGGCTCTATTGAAAACTTCTTTGCTACATAAAATATTGCTAATACACGATATCATAGAAGGTATTAACAATACTAGGTGGGAGGGAGGTGGGGTCTAGTAGTTAAAATTGACGTTGATATATAATGGGTACTCTTCTGATTTTCAATAAGCCTGGAAAATATTTTCTGACAGGTCAATCATGTCATCTTGAAAGTTTTTAATTATTAAATTGGTTTCAAATTTAACTTCTCCTTAATAAGAAAAATGTTTTTTTTTATTCTCTCGGGTTGTGGTCCATTAATCCTATAATATTAGAAAAGGCCATAATCTCTATATAATTCAATAGATTGTAACCACTTACTTATTGTATATAGAATATAAAGGCCAAGTTTTGCAGATAAACTACATATTATTATCCATAAAGGACGTCACGATTTTTTAGGCAATTATTGACCTCCTCTCCCCCATTTTTTTTGTCACCATTTGTCCTTTTTATCTATACCCTCTTTGTAAAGGACGGCATAAAATTCTGACCCCCCCCCTATTTTATCAAAAAAAAAATTTTTTGATTTCACATTATCTTCATAACAACACATGTTTACATAGTTTTCCATGTTAATAAAACTTAAATAAAAAATGTATAAAGTAACGTCCTTTTCTGACAACGTTCCCCCTCTCCCTTTGTCCTTTTTGTCTTAACCCCCTCCTCCCTTCCTTTTTGGAAGACGTCCTTTATGGATAGCCCCTAAGGTAGTGGCCGCAGTTAAATTTTCCCAGGGATCTGGGTTGGCCGTCTGCGGCACTGAGTATAAGGCAAGGGTGGGTTCCATAACTTATCAAGAGTGGAAAAGTAGGGGAGGGGAAGGTCTAACTGAGGTGCGACTAAATAAAAGCAAATTTTATAACTTTGAATTTACATAAAGGCAAAGCACTTGCAAACACTGGCATAAATGCGCCAAAAGTTTTTGGAAATACTGGCTTAAGTGGGAATCAATTGCAAAAATAGGTATAAGTGCAAATCGGCATATGTGTAAAACGGCATAAGTGCGCCGAAAGAATTTGCAAACACTGAAATAAGCGTTTAACTTCCTTTAAAATCAAACTTCTGAACAAGGGTGAATGTAGAATATGTTTCAAAGACTGGAAAAAAATTATTTATATATTATGTTTATTATATTTACAAGCGAAAATATAATTTAAGGGCTATCCCCCACTATTTATTATTGGTCGTATTCTATCGCAACTATCTCTTGAAACAATAAATGTTTGAGATTTTGAGTTGAGTTTGAGTAGAGTTGAGCATTTATGAAATAAAGAGTGAGAAAAGAATATTATACTTTATTCCTGACTTAAAAAAATATTTTTCATACAAACTCAACAAAAGGAACAAAAGGGAACATTTTCCAAATTTTTATATAAATCAACACAGCAAAATCCAAGATTCTTGTTTTAAGCAAAAAAAGTCTCAAAACAAGAAAAAAACGACTTGTCCGCCACGTAAGAATATTTTTTCTTGTTTCAAATATTTTTATTAGGGTTGTTCACGAAAGCCAAACTTTTTTCGTTTCGGTAAGTTTGAAATAATTTTAAAGTAATTAATTTTGCATTGAAACGATTTTTTACTTTCGAAATTGTAAAATTTGCTTCGAAATATATTTGCGATTTCGAAGTTCTGAAAATATTATCGAAACCTGAAATAAATCGAAATATCTGAAATATCGAAATATTCTGAAGTATCGAAATAATCTGAAATATCGAAATATTCTGAAAATATTATCGAAATCTGAAATAAATCGAAATCTGAAAATAAATCGAAAAATATTACCGAAACAATTTTTTACTTTCGAAATTGTAAAATTTGCTTCGAAATATTTTTGTGATATCGAAATTCTGAAAATATTACCAAGAA